GACCTTTTGATGGTTGTCTCCAAACACTGAAACACAAGGTTCAAAAAGTTTCAATCGGACAATCAGTTTTGGCAGCTGGCTAACACAGGTTTATTTGGCTAGATATTTTTAATGGTCATACTGTCTGTTTTATAGCTTTGCACTTTTATTGCCTTTCAATTCTTTGTTTCTATGAAATGTGTTTTACTGCATTTCATGTGGCATTAAAGTGGTATGAGAATGTAGATGAATGGCAGTTTAGAAATTTTGAAATAAATAAGAACTGCTCAATAGCTCAGTGGTTCAGGTATCTATCTGTCTGTGGAGCAAGAGGCTGGGAGTTTGATTCACTATTATGGCTCATTGACAGGAGCTGGACTTGATGATCCATAGGGTCCCTTCCAGGTCTGCAGTTCTCAGATTATAAAAGAGTGGTTTGCATGTCAGATGAAGACTACGTATACTTATGCACAAATCATCAGTACCAATCTAATTATAGAGGGTGAACCTCGCGGTTAATTCTACCTTACAGTATGGATGTGTGGAAAATCTATTAATACCAGAAGAGTTGAAAGGTGGTGGGGAATCAATATAAAAAAAAATCTTAATAATATCCTGACCACCATTCATCAGACTTCAGAAAGTGTGGGAAGCTGAAATAGGGTCTTTATAATTGCAGAAATTCACACATATTGGATAAAGTAGCACCATAGGAATAAATAAGTGAAACCAATTATAGAAAAGAAAGGCTTCTTTTTTTGTGAACTATAACCTTTCTTTAAAAGTAAAAAAAAAAAATTCAGTTTCTTAGATATCTTTATCCATGAAAGTCTATGAGCAACTTTTATTTACAATATATCAGCATTAAAATGAAAAACAGAGAAACCCAACAAAAATTAGATACAATTTAGATGCCTTTCCCCAAAGAGATCTGCCTGACTTCCATTTTGGAAACCAGTATATGGCATTTATGAACATCATCAGCAAAATGCTTATTGTTAATAGAAGGCAATACACTGCAGAGGCCCGAAGTGTGCTTGTCATGACACCCAGTTCTTTACCCCTTCATGGAGTCCCTGCTAAGCAGCCCAGAGACAGGAGCAGTGGGTAAACTCTGCCCTTCCTGCAACTTCAGTTAAGTCCCATATTTTATATTCTTCTCACAAGAGCAAATGACAGTCAGACAATTATGCCTCCTTGTGGTGAAGTCTGAAACAATATTCCTGAGTGTAGTATATATAGTGGCCTTTTTACATTTTAGCATGTAAACACAATTCATCAGTTGGGAAGAGGCAATGCAACCAGAAATTACACTAGTTATGTTTCTCTCAGATGAAAAATAAATATTATAATTGAGTCCTCACTTGCACAGAAATCGGCAAATATCTTGACAATATTTAAAAATGAAACTCTGTTTCAATGTATTCTCTCATGTTCCCACAATAAAAAGCTGTTTGTAAAATCCCACCCCAGAGTCTCCTTTACTATGCTTGAATACTGACCGCGTTTTACATATCCCACATTCAAAGACCTGCCAGGTGAGCTTTGTGCAACTGAAACTAGTGCAAGTCAAGACCTATCATCCGACCTATTTTCCACCCAACCCAATATCCAGATAGGTCAATCATCTATAGATAAGATTGTTTTTTCTTAAAGAAAATTGAAGCATATTTTATTAAAAACATTTTTCCTGTTAACAAATAAACCTCCCACTATATGCATTCTTACTGGGCAAAATCCTTTTGGCACATTTATGCTGATATAAATTAGATCTGAGCACCAGAATTAACTAATTTATTAACTGAAATTTATTAATTAATCGCAAGCTTAGTTGCATGTGGCCTTGTGCCTGCTGGGATATAAACAAAGTAAATAAATAGATTTACTCATGTTTTAATGGAAAGGATCACGTAACAGTTATACCAGTGCGCTAGATACGGATTCTGGAATTAATTAATTTATATTCAGTGAAAGCTTCCTATTCCCTTGTTTCAGGTTCTGAGGCTCCCTATGGCTCCCTTTTGCCTTAGCGAAGCCTTTGGGAGTATTAGGATAATGGTGGTGGGCTTCAATGATCCAAAATTGCCACCGGATCACAGCTGTAAAGATCAGGAGTGCTGGTGGCAATCTGGTGGCTACTAAAGGGGAGCCTCACCCTCCAAAGTTAAAGATACACCAGCTGTAGCGAGTATGGAACAGGCAGAAATCCCTGGTGCTGACACAACCGCTTTTGTGCTGGTTTATCTGAGATCTCCTGGCACAACCTTTGTGCTGGGCTGGGATCAGCCAGAGCAAGAGCCAAAAAAGGGGCAGTTATGCCAGGTCCAAACTCCTATCAACCCAGACTCACAACTGCTGTGGCAACACAAAGTTAGGACAAGGCCAGGATCCCTAGGCTGGGCATGGTTTGGATCCAGCACAGCGTCACCTAGCTTAGAGTCAGCTCAGCCAGCCCTCAGCCATCTTGGCAAGTTTGAATTGCAGTCTCACTCTTCTTGTGGAATTGTACCATCAGAAGGACACCAGATAAATATTTTTAATTTATCTGATAGATGGTATATAAAAAAAAACTTTTCTCATTTAATATTTCATTTTCAGAATGGAAAATAGTTTTCAAAGTATTTACCTGCAAACAAGCGCCTTGCTGTTTTAAGAAACAGCAACAATTTTACACATAGGAAAATACTGGCACAAAGTGCCCAGATTTTATTTTAAAATACTTGATTAGACCCAAAGCAGTCTTTCTGTTGCAAAAGGCTATCAGGAAGGATGTGGCTGTTGCTAATTCCATCTTCCATCATACTCATAGCACAAGTAAGGCACTCCAGAGTTTCCTACAATCTTCGAGACAGAATTTTAGTGAGACACCAAAAGTTGCAATGGAAGGGAGGAAAATCAAATCTTCCCCTTCTGTTAGTATTCTATAAATAGGATTCTGCTCAAACATTTGTTGATTCAACCCATTAGTCTAAATTTCCTCACACATTTTGCTCTTGAGGCACGTGAGAGCTGCTGTAATACACTTCTCTACTATGCTATGAAAAAGAGGCCCTCGAATAAAGGAAAAGGGCAAAAAGCAGGGCAAGGATATATGTATTTCTGTTTATGTTTTTCTTGTATATAAACTAAATTATTTTTAATAAAAAATGTAAAAAACAGAACAAGAAATCAGGATTCTCTGATATCCTGTTTTTTCAGACTCTTAACTGGGTGGAATATAAGAGCAGGTGACACCAACAAAGGATTTCAGGAGGCAATCTATATGATTTAGTTGTTAAACTAAAAGCTAAACTAAAAGCTAGGCGGATTATACATGTTAAAACATAATGATCCACATTTATCAGTCTAAAATTATAAACTCAAAATCTGAGAATGAAAAAGCAAAATGGACAGGCATAAAAATATTTCAATTAGCTAGAAATCTGCACATCTGAATCTAATGGTAAGAGTTTTGAACATTAACTTTAAAATGCCAGTGCAAACAAAAAAGGTTTTCACTGGGAGCTGAGAGGAATATACTGTCAGTGCCAAGTGTTATCTCCTGAGGGAGGAAATGCTGCTGGGCTACCAACAAAGACAAGTGCACTTCTCTCATAGAAGGAACACAGAGGAAGGCATCTTCTGAATATCTTAATTCACAGGCAGTTAAAATAACAGATAAGCATACACAAAAACATTGCTTGGACTGCTGAGAAGAACCAGTACAAACTGGAAGTTGGTGACAGGTTTGGGTATTGGGCCAATTTGTCCCATCACAAAATTTTTAGGGTGGTTTGTCACCATTTGTTTACTCTGTTTTTAACCTGTAAACTGCTCAGAGTAATGTGTCCACTAATAGGGTGGTATGTATGTATGTGTGTACCATATGTTTCCGTTTATAACATGTCCACTTATAAGATGCCCCCTTTTTCTAACCCAAAAACCAGCCTCTGGGCTCAGAATGCTTAGACATTAGGAGTCCCTCTTGAATCTGAGCACTGCCTACAGGCTCCACCTCCAACGAGGTGTGTGTTCCAACTGGTTTGTTCAGCATCAGCTGACATCAGTTCCATAAGGATCGTGATTGAAGGAAGCCTGTTTACAGAGGCAAGTTATGTGCTGTTTTGTTCTCTCCTCAGATATCTCAGCTTACTTCCGACTATAAGATGCACCTCAATTTTTAGTATAATATTTTTAGGAAAAAGTAGCATCTTATACACGGAGAAAACCAGTATGTATGAATAAATAATCAATCCTGATTTTAGGTATTACTTAGACCCTAAAATCTAGTGTCCTGAACTTGCTTTCTTCTCCATCCCTATCTCCTTTTCTACAAATGTCATGCCTATTAGCTTGTAAACATGAAGATGAAGTCTATCTTACCATTGATACTTATAAAACATTCAAGGAGCTCTGTCCTTCCAAAAAGAGCTGGGTAAAAATGATTGGTTGTTTTGTTGTTGTGCACTGTCCACTCTGATGACCCTAACAGGTTTTTGAGGTACAGGAAATGTCCAAAGAGTGCTTTACTACTGCCACTCCCCAATGACATTCCATGGCCAAGTGGGGATTTGAACTTAACTCTCCTGAAGTCTGACACTACACCACACTGACTTTCTTTAAAGAAATTGGTTATCTCCTTAAATATATAGATGTATTTCTACTCTTATATAAGAACTTCATTTGGGTTTACCTGCCAGTAGACACGCGCATGATTGTACTATACTGGCAGGAAGACTAATCTCCCATGATTCTTCAAGAAGCATTCAGGGCCTTTGTGGATACTGAGTCCTGCTCGAGGCATTCTTGTTAAGAACCCTGTCAACTGATATTCTTGATCACTCTGTATCTGAAAGTGCCCTCTGGATGCCAAAAATGCAGACACATTTTAAAATCAACTATTAACATACACCCAAAGAACAGCTTGTTATATCTACATTCACAGCACAGCTTTAGCTGAATTTGTTTTAACTGCAAGCACCAAACGTGAACACAGAAATATTTATGCCTCTTTTGTTAAATGAAGAGCTCAATCAACTTACTTTTTTAAGTGAACAGTAATAAGGGGACCACACAATTGTGCAGTAGGCTTCGAGAAACCTAGGGATACAATGGTTTCATGTAGTCGAGTCACACTTTCAACTTCTCCTTGTAGGGCTATACCATTAAGGATGTGGAAAAAGGATACGGCAGTTTCATCTTGCATACGGACATCCTTCTCTTTCATCTCCTTTAAAATGTTAATAGCATCTACAATGAATCACCACAAAAGACTCTTAGGTAATTTTATGTACTGAGAAAACAAACTGCTATTAAAAACAGCATTTGAAAAACCAGCAGGAATGTAAATTCTGGTGTATAATGCCAATTTCAAGTTAATTACTACTTGCATTTCTAAATGAGACTACAATTATGAATCCACAATAGCATGGTTTTATCATTTTGATGCAACTTTGACTACAAATTACAGATAGGAACGGTGTGCCCACTCTGCACTACATAACCCTGTAGAGCCTGCCTATAGCAACAAGATCCTACTAAATAGATGCTTTTATCGTTCAGTGCTAACATCTGCTAAATCACACCATTGTTTCTTCAGCAGATGGCTTGTCACGAGGCCAGATAATAAAGATGTGTTTACACTGTATATACAGCCAGACTAATGGTCTGATACCGATAGGGCCTGTTTGCTGTGTCGATACTAATTAGCCAAGGAGAGCCAATGAAAGCTTTTTAAGAGAGTGCATGTTAAAACATTAGGTTTATTAAGCTTCATTAGGAAGGCAGAAACAAACATTTTGGTATACGGAATAAGAGCATTTTTGGTAATGTTCTTAATTATTGCACAGGCAAAATGTTTTGACCACTTTACATAAAAGCAGGCTCATCTTTTGAAAGTGCCTATTGCAGCATGCTGTGTGCTTCAGAAAAGCAACACAATACTACCTTTTCATTGCATAGGTTGCCAGAATCTAATTTCATCATCTTCTGGGGAGAAAACTCATTCCAACAAATTTTCATCACACCAGGCCAATTAAAGGAATTAACTATGAATCTTGGGTTTAATAGAATACCAAATTATAACCAGCTAGTCAATGTCAGACTCCTTTTTTCTAATTAATAAAAGCAATCTCATGCAGTTTACAAACTTCATATGTTATGAAATGCATCCCATTTGCAGCAAGATGTATTAAATGCAACCTGGCTACCAGCAAAAAATGTGTAGAAAATTAGTTCATTAATACCACTATAATATACAGCTGTTGACTTAAAACTTAAAAGTTAATAACAGAGAAGATAAACTTAAGATGCTAATATGACAATCTATTTATTAAAAAGTTAGCGGGTGGGATGTCTTTTTGTAGTACCGAGACCCTTTACAGGGAGGTTATGTTTATAGGCTTTATGCTCAGACTTCAGACCTTCTTAAGCAAAAACAAAGCCATTAGTCTAGGCACATACGCAATTTGTGCCATAAGTCATGATCTTCAAACTCAATCCAAACAGCAATGCTAATAAAAACTAGCTGCAGAAATGCAAAAAGCACTGAGCTGTGCAAATGTAAATGACAAGCTTGCCAATCCATTAAAACTAATGGCCTACACCGTCCGAGCATCTCTGGTTGAATTCACATGCAAATTTGTATGCAAAATGTTCAAGCACTTTGCAGGACATGATATACCATTAATATCAACCCATATTTTTATTCTAGTGGCAAGATACCTTTATTATAAAACAAATACACATACTGAAAATAAAAGGGCTTACCATCCACTCGGCCACATTTCGCCAAAACTTTCACCAAGGCTAAGTAGCTCTGTGAGGTCATAACTGCAGATGGGTATTTCTGGGAGCTGAAACACACATACACACACACATATATATACAATGAAATTCATTAACTCATTTGTGCTTCTCATACTGGAATTTATAAGCTCACATATAATTCTATGTTTATTTCTTCTATACCTATACTGATTGTCTACGAGCAAGATATGCTTAATTCAGGGTGTCTTACTTTTAAGCAGACACATTTACTCTGATTGTGCTGCAAGCATGGATCCAACTCAATGTAAACCATTCTTGTGATGGAGCCCATGACTATTGCTTTCTGCTGCTGTTTGCCTTTTTTTAAAAAAAATGCTACATTTTAAATTCATAAAGTCCTTTCACACAAATTACTTATTGGCACTTCACTTCTTCTATTTACTGAGCATTACTTAACCTACCTTTCAACTGGTTTTGTGTTAATATTCATTACATAAACATTTAGTATTCATTCATTTGATTTATATACCACCCATCTAACCAATGATCATTCTATAGAATGCTGAAAACATTCTTGGTGCCTGTAAGGGGCAGAGAACTCATAATCAAACACAGTATGTACTGAACTATCAAATGGTCAACTTGGAAATTGACAGGTTACCCAACTGTAACTGTTCTTCGAGTGGACCTCTGTGATTCACACATCTAGGTGATTCGCGCCTGTGCGGAGCCTCACCAGAAGATTCTAGAGCATCTGCGGTAGAAATAAACACATTAAAATATGCCCCTCCCCGCCAAGCATCCCCTTTCAGTTGTGTCAACCACTGCTTAATAGTAAGCAAACAATGGTGTGACAGAGGGGAGGACGGGCAGGATGTGTGAACCACAGAGGTCCACTCGAAGAACTACAATTACAGGTGGGTAACATGTTGTTCTTCTTTGTGGCCTCTGTGAATCACACCCTGGGTGACTAATAAGCTGTCTTACCCAGAGGCAGGGTGTCATGCCAAGGAACAGGCTAGAACAGCATGTCCAAAGGCCGCATCAGACTTCTTCCGGAGTTCGAGTCTATAATGACGGATAAAAGTGGATGGCTGTGCCCATGTCTAGTCGCACGTAACCACAGAAACTGTCTACGGACAAATGCTCTACAGCTTGGAGACGGGGATGAGCATCGTACCGTAGAGTCGGACACCACTGGACTAAATGTCAAAGGGAACCTTTACCTTTACCAAATGCCCAAGTTGCAGAGGCGCAGACATCCGGAAGAGGTACACCGTGGAGAAAGGCTGTAGAAGGTGCCACTGCCCTGGTGGAGTGAGGGCGAACCACTCTAGGGGCTGGTTGTCAAGCAAGTTGATAAGCCAAATGAATGGTTGAGGCGACCCATCTGGCTATAGATTCGGAAGTCACCTGATGGCTTTAGTAGGTAGTTAATGGCTTATGAAAAGACAAGGTGATTGTCTAAAGGTGATTGAGTACGTTGGAGATAAAAAGCAAGAGTTCTTCTGACATCCAATATATAGGGTATATTTTCTTGGTTTGAAAAACGTGATGGAAAAAATGAAGGAAGGACAATCAGCTGGGAAAGATGAAATTGCGAGACAATTTTGGGGAGGAAGGAAATAACCATGAATAACCTCACCTTATCGGGAAAAATTGTAGATAAGGGTAGTCATAGTGTAAAGCTGCCAATTCACTAGCTTGTCGAACTGAGGAGATGGCTACGAGAAAAAGCAGTTTTAAAGGTAAGCAGTCTTAAGTCAGTTGTAGCTAATGGCTCAAAAGGAGCTTTGGTAAGCTGTTTTAAAACAATAGTTAGTGACCATTGTGGAGAGGGAGGTCGAGTATTGGGGTAGATATGAGAGAGACCTTTCAGAAAACATTTCATTGTTGAATGTTTGAAGAAGTTTGCTGCTGGAGAATTTGGAGGTTGGTATGATATTACTGAGGAAATGTAGACTCCATTTTGAGATGAAGAGGCCCTTGGATTTGAGATATAGGCGGAAGCAGAGAACAGTGGAAAGTGATGGATTGACGGAGGATGATGGGGAAGATTTGGTAAAGGATTGAAATTTCTTCCATTTGTACAGGTAGCTTTCCTTGTGGATGGTTTTTTGGCATGATGAAGGACGTTCATTAACGAGGGAGAATCCTCCACGCTGCCAGGTGCAGAACAGGTAAGTCCGGGTGTAGAACTTGCGAGTTGTTCTGTGTGAGAAGGTGTGGCAGGTGGGGGAAATGGTGGACATCTGATGAGAGACTGCAGAGAACTGGGTACCAAGTCTGTCTCAGCCACCAAGGGGCTATAGCGATGGCATTGGTCTTGTCTCATTGTAGCCATCTAGAGTGGTCCGGTGGTCCAGATAGGTGGGGTATAAGTCAAATCAAATCAGATCAAATCAATCAATCAATAAATATGCCAACTTTGTGGAGAGGGAATGGCAGAAAAGGGTAGGTAAGAGTCTTGGGCCAATGGCCAACAAACCCGTCTCCCTGGGAATGTTTTCCTATTCCTGCTCAGGAGCAATACAGTTGGCATTTCCAATTCGCTCGGGAGGCAAAGAGATCGAGCGTCGGTGTGCCCCATTTCTGGCATAGTTGGCGGAATACTGATTGATATAGTTTCAACTCATGAGCTTGGGCATCTGTACGGCTGAGCGAGTCTGCTAGGTCATTATCTTGACCAGTGATGTGTAAGGCTATGAGACAGATGTGATGTTGCAGACACCACTCCCAGAGGTCAACTGCTAGGTAGAGGAGACCTGGGGAGTGGGTGCTGCCTTGTTTTAGGATGTAGTACATCGCCGTAGTGTTGTCAGTGGCGATCTGTACCATTTTTTCCTATAAGAAGATTTCTGAAAGCCTTGCAGGCCTTTATGATGTTTATGTGGAGCAGTTTTTCTCTGTGAGATCATTTGGCATGGACTGTGAGGGATTTGCAATGAGCCCCCCAGCCGGTGCAACTGGCATTGGTAGTGACTTGTATTCACATAACAGAAAGGTTGTTATGGGATAGAAAGGTTGTTATGGGATGTTACTACTGAAGTTGAGAGGCCAATTCTGGAGTGACTCTTAGGAGAGTGTGGGGAGAGTCTGTTAGTGGATCGAGTAGGGCCAGAAACCAGGATTGGAGAGATTGATTTTGAGATGCACATGTTGTACAACTGATGTCATAGAGGCCTAGAATTCGTTGCACCATTAAGGTAGGTATCAAGGCATGCAGTGTGAAGCCGCGAAGTAAGGTGAAGAGATTTTGTCTCTTTTCTGCAGGGAGCAACGCGCAAGCTCGTGTGGAGTCTATGAGTGTGCCACCTATGTAATGCATAGTCCTTGTACATTTTAATGTTCATTTTTGTTCATTGATAGTTAGACCAAGATGTTTTAATGTTCACTTTTGTTCATTGATAGTTAGACCAAGATCATGAAGAAGGGCGAGGGTGAAACGGGTGTCTCACTGAGCTTTGCGACAGGAGTGTGCTACAAGGAGCCAGTCGTTTATATATGGAAAGACGAGAATGTTTTGAAGTCTGAGGTAGACAGCTACTGGCGCCATGCACTTGGTGAATACTTTCTGAGTTGTAAGGCTGAATGGAAGTCTTTTGAATTGATATGCTTGTGATCCAATTGTAAGGCTGAATGGAAGTCTTCTGAACTGATATGCTTGTGATCCAAGTTAGAAACGAAGGAATTTTCTGTGTGCGGGATGTATTTAAATATGAAAGTAAGCATCTCTTAGGTGTATGACGGTGAATCAGTCATTTTTTTCGAAGTAAGGGAAGAACTGATTCTAGAGTAACCATGCAGAATTTTGTGGTGACAATGTACAGTAGTTGTTTAATAATCTTAAATCAAGAATAGGGCGAAGACCCCCATCTTTCTTGGGGACGGTGAAATAGCAAGAGAAAAACCCAGTGGTGTTTTGATAGATGGGTTGTGTGGCGGGCGGAAAAGCATTTATTGTTTAGCAACAGAGAGTCCTTCTTGTTGGAAGGCTTGAGCTAGTATCTTTTTATCGTCTGGCAGGGATTCAATAAAGGACATGTTGTCCCAGAGGAAGCACTGGTAAGGTCCCATGGTTCCTTGATAATTCACATGGTGAAGGCTGCGGAAGAGTAAAGCCATCTGCCCATGAAGTCTATTCATTGGCTGTCTTTTATTTGGTGGTATGAGAGATTGTCAGTTTGTTGGAAGGCTTGAGCTAGTATCTTTTTATCGTCTGGCAGGGATTCAATAAAGGACATGTTGTCCCAGAGGAAGCACTGGTAAGGTCCCATGGTTCCTTGATAATTCACATGGTGAAGGCTGCGGAAGAGTAAAGCCATCTGCCCATGAAGTCTATTCATTGGCTGTCTTTTATTTGGTGGTATGAGAGATTGTCAGTGTCAAGTCATCGGCTGTCTTTTATTTGGTGATATGAGAGATTGTCAGTGTCAAGATCTCGATTGAGAGGCTTCGACAAATATAGAATTTGGAGCTGGTTATTTTTGGAGGAAAATGGCTCCTGGGTCATGGATTCTATAGAGGTTATCAATCCACTTAGACATGGTATGGGAGGAAGCTGGTTTTGTCCAGGATCTCTGCATAATACTAAGGAGAGATGGCAACATTGGTATGTGTACCGGAATGGTTGAATTTTTAGATATTGGATCAAATAGATGATCGGCTGGTTCTGTCGATGGTCAGTGGATCTGCAGATTAAGGGATTTAGCCATGTGATTCATAAGTTGGGCATAGGTCAGGAAATCCTTTGCTGATGACGGCGGGTCAGTATTGGCAATGTCCGACTCTCTAGAGGAAAGTAACACAGATTGAGTCTGCAGCCAAGATCCATGGTCAGAGCCATCGAGGTTGCGTCTGGAGTTGACGGATTGTCGATCGACTTCGGTTTCAAGAGGCTGAGTTTTGTAGTATTGTCGGTTAAGAGTAAAAAAAGATGGAGGCGGCATGTCCATGGACATCTGTCGATGTCGAGGATTGTCGACATCGAAAGATGGTGGTTGAGCATCGACGGACCTCGATTGGTAGGGATGGACCTCGGTGTAGACCTTGGTGTCGTAATGGTGCCAGGGTCAATGACTTAGATTTACCGGAGAACAGGAACTGTGCTGATGTAATGGAATGGAGCGTGTGTCCATGGACCAAGATGAATATCGAGGATTGTCGATATCAGAGCCTGTGATATTGAAATGAAGTTTGCTGATGTGATGGCATAGCAGTAGAATAAACGGACAATGGCGATGCTGAGCATGAAGAGTGATTTCCATCATCTATTGTAGTAGGGGTGCTGTGGCCGGAGGCTGAGCAAGGTAGAAAGGAAAACATCTCTGATGATAATGAGTTTGAGCTAATAGTTTAAAGGAAAAAAAGATTGATAACAGGAAGGAATCAAGAATAAGGTTTCTTTCTCTTTTACTCACAGAAGCAGAATATGAGTCTCTCAATGCGGTGGTTGAAAGAAACTGAACGGGGATGCTTGGCGCTAAGGTACTTATATGGGTGGGGAGGGGCATTCTAATGTGTTTACTGCTATCACAGAAGCTCTAGAATCTTCCGATGAGGCTCCGCGCAGGCACGAATCACGCAGGGTGTGATTCACTGTGATTCTGTTGCACATTTACTCTAGCATAAGGAAAATGACATAAAATGCACCAGCAAATTAGTGCTAATTAAAAAGTCCCTGTTTAGAGTCCTCATTATGTGCCAGTTGGGTGGATTGGTGTACAACCTAGAATCTAAGTGAGAATTCATTAATTAGTGGCAATATTTCATTGTGAATCATCATTTCACTTCCCCAGGTTTTTGCAACAGGATTTTGCCAACAGTGAAGCTGTGTCCACATGTAAAATTCCTTCTTTTATATACTGGCTCACACAATATTTAGGCATAAATAAATAAATAAATAAAATACAAAAAATCCAGAAGGCAATTCTAAAATGTCCATTATTTAAGACAATGTATATACCTTAATATTGCAATAACAATATAAAACTAGGGAGGGTACAAAGAGAAAATGAGGATCCGTAAAGTACTTGGCTCCTTGTTCAACAGGGCATTACAGGTTTTAGCTGGGAGCTAATTTTCACAAGCTAGATATTATCTCTGCAAACGAGACTTTAAAAGGTAATGCTTGTAGACAGGTATTAAAATGTAACATCACTTACAAGCACTGTAATGCCACTGTGTTGCACATGCATTACTCTCCTCAGAAACCAAAACTGAATATCAAGGTGGCTGCTAAAACCATACCAGAAATGGATTTATTAAAATACAATATAAAGCACCAGTAACAAACATGTGTGTTGAAAACTGATTACGTAATCATGACAACTTGTTACAACCAATCTTGAATTTCAGCAAAATATTTTTATCAGGGGAAAAGCTAATTAAAAATGTATGAGGGGGGTTTAATATCCAACCTACTTAATTCAATAAGGTCTGTGTATCAGCATAAATCTCTGTGACATCTTTCAGTGCTGGTGTACTTACAGTTCTTCTTTCAGGTTCATTGCTTCCTCTGCCTTATCATGTCGACAGCATAAACGCATTAAGGAGCAATAGCTACCAACATCTAGGTCCGATTTGAATTTGGCTTTCACTTCAAGAGCTTTTTCTAAATCCTAGAAGTAGCAATAAACAAAAACATATGAACTAGAAAAGGAAAAGGTGCACAACATTTTGAGTTATTGCATTTGCCGTAAAATTGTCTTTAACTGTAAGCTCTACGATGTTTGTAAAATATTGTTTTCTTCACATTTTTTTAAAAATCCAATAAAGTTAACAAGTGTCTTTAGTTTGTCCAGACAAAAACCCTTGTTACACAGCTTATTGTTCTGGTGGATAATATATTATGAATTCTTTCTCAAAAATATTTTAAGGCTTCTGTTTCGTTTACAATGCCATGGTTTTGCTTTAATTTTCTGGGGAAGAGGGAAGGGAAACCAAGCATCAAACATTCAAACCCAAATAGCTGCTTTTATTTATTTTAAATGTCTTTACCCCACCTTTCTTCTTTTAACATGTTCCAATGGCTGAAATCCTGTTAGGAGAAACTGCATGCAGAAAAGGAACCACACATGCAGTTCACCTTTTTGATAGGAGTCCCTGCTGTACGACCATTTTGCAATCAATGGGCAGACACTCCACCAAAACCTCAGGTAATTTTAGGTACTTTTTTTTCCTAGCAAGATTATGGCCAATGCTTTTAATAGAGTTATGTTTAAGGTTCCACCAGCATGATTTCAGTATCAAATAACAAAAAAGCAGCCAAACCCATTTGCCATCCAAACTTTGGGGATCACCAAACACGAACTGGAAGGTTAACATATGCATGTTTCCTAAAACATCAGGGATGTTATGACAACACTGAACACACAAGCAATCGGGCCCAAGTCAGACAATGGACAACAAATTGCAGGCATACATAGAAGTATGGACTATAGCTGAATGCCTCCTGATGAAGGTAAGAGCCTCGTGGCGCAGTGGTTAAACCGCTGTACTGCAGCCAAAACTGTGCTCACGACCTGGGGTTCAATCCCAGGTAGCTGGCTCAAGGTTGACTCAGACTTCTATCCTTCCGAGGTCGGTAAAATGAGTACCCAGCTTCCTGGGGGGGGGGCAATGTGTAGCCTGCATAATTAACTTGTAAACTGCCTCTAGAGAGGGTTTGAAGCACTATGGGGCGGTATATAAGCAACACACTTTTTTTTATATAAGCAGCACGCTTTTTATCTTAGGAAGTCTTCCTCCAGCAGGAAAATGGAATTTCAATTCCCATATTAACCATCTAGCAGTATATAAATTGCAAATGACTAGGCATGTATCAGTTTCTTGACAATCTAGTTGTAAAATGCCAGACCTGTGGCTTGAATTGACCCTTGGAAGGTATGATACACCTCTTGCAGCTATTACTGTAATTCACTTTGCAGGTAACAATTAGAAGGCCAGAGTGACCCCAAAACATATAATTCAAGAGGCAAATAAAATACTATCCTTTCCCCCCTGCCCCTCCCACATTGCTTTTTGGTACTTTGGAATGATTTACAAAGGTCACAACCACAACCCATGAGACTGTGTACTTCTCTCTTCCATTGGTGCCCTATCTCTAGTATGTTGTTTTCATTGTTGTTTCAACTTATATACTACCCCATAGCACTACAGCACTCTCTGGCTGGTTTACATTATAATTATGCAAACAACAACGTGCCTCCCCTCAAATGGGTACTCATTTTGCTTATCTTGGAAGGATAGAAGGCTGAAACCTTGGGCCAGCTACCTGAACCCAATGGTATCAAATGCAGGTTGTGAGCAGATGTTTGACTGTAGTACTGCAGTTTAACAACTGCACCATGGGCTCATATCCCATGCAACTGCATATGTACATGCAGTAATGTGCAAATGATATGGCATTATTCATATTGATTTCTAGCAATACAACAGAAAACTCTTCTTAGTTACCTCTTCTGAAAACAGAGTCCTTATGAACAATTTCAAGTTTTCTTCAATGGGTTTGTCCTGAGCTTTTAGTTCTTCAAGTTTTTTCAATCTATATACCTGTAGTCCAACAAAGTGAGGCAAAAAATAAGATGTCAAAAGAATACATGTTGTCTTTTAGACTATTTAAAAGAGGAGCTAAGTAAAAGTTGTGCAAGAAAAATAGTTGCGCTTCCTTTGTATTTCAATTTTGCACTCTAGATCAGTGCTTCCCAACACTGGAATCCCAAAGAACTCCCAGATATTCTGGCCAGCACAGCTAATGGTGAACACTTCTGGGAGTTTTAGTTCAGGAACTTGTGGGAACTCAAGGTTACCCATCTGTAATTGCAGTTCTTCAAGTGGACCTCCGTGATTCACACTCTGGGTTATCCGCGCTTGTGCGGAGCCTCATCAGAAGGTTCTAGAACTTCTGTGGTAGTAAAAAATAAATTAGAGTAGGCCCCTCCCCCATGTATAAGTACCTTGGCACCAAGCCACTCCATTTATGTCAACCGCTGCATTTTGAAGCTGCATGGCGTGACAGAGGGGAGGTCGGGTAGAATGGTTTGACAGTGGGGAGGTCGGGTGGGATGTGTGAATCACAGAGGTCCACTCGAAGAACTACGATTACAGGTGGGTAACCTGTCGTTCTTCTTCGTGGCCTCTGTGAATCACACCCTGGGTGGCTAACAAGCTGTCTTACCCAGAGGCAGGGTGTCATACCAAAGCTAGAACAGCATGTCCAAAGGCCGCATCAGACTTCTGCCGGAGGTCGAGTCTATAATGACGGATAAAAGTGGACGGGTGTGCTCATGTGGCAGAAGCGCAGACGTCAGGAAGAGGTATGCCGTGAAGAAATGCAGGAGAGGCTGCCATTGCCCTGGTGGAGTGAGGGTGAATCACCAAGGAGTCCTGCGCAGTCTAAACCCATTTGTATGAAGAAACGCAGGAGAGGCTGCCATTTTCCTGGTGGAGTGAGGGTGAATCACCGAGGGGTCCTGCGCAGTTTAAACCCATTTACAGAGGCCAAAAAGAAGAACGTGATGTTTGGGTTTGCAGTCCTTATGTCTGGTGGTGGTTGGAGGTTGGCGAAACTTAGTTCTTTAATTCTTGAAATAAGGTGTGTAAGATGTTTGTCGTTGAGGCTCACATTGGAATTTTGGGTAGGAGTTGTATGGACACCTCCATTGGCTATGCTGCGGGCGCTGTTGGTAGGATGGGTAGATGCCCCAACACCTGGCAGCTGATCTTTTCTTCTGAACATTTTCTAAAATGTCATCAGTTTCACTCTGAACATTTTCTAAAGTGTCATCAGTTTCAGCATTAGAAAGGCCTACCCCATCAAAAGGGAGGTCCACGATGCGCATGTGTGTATCTTTAGCAAGGCCGGCTGTTCCTCACCAGGAGAAACAACGTAATGCTACAGAGGTAGCCATGGACTTAGCTGTAGCATCGACAGAGTGTCAAGCGGAGAGCATTTGTTGTTTGGCAACAGAGAGGCCTTCCTGTTGAAAGGTCTATGCAAGCAACGTCTTGTCATCTGGTAAGGATTCAACAAAAGTAGACATGTTATCTCAGAGGAAACGTTGGTAAGCCCCCATTGCTCCTTGATAATTAGTGACTTGCATGGTGAATGCTGCCGAGGAGTAAAGCCATCTACCCATGGAGTCAATTCTTCTACTGTCCTTGTTTGGTGGTACAGGGGTTTTTTCGATGTCGAGATCGAGAAGCCTCGACAAATATAGAATTTGGAGCTGGTTGTTTCTGAAGGAAAAGGGCTCCTGGGTCATGGACACTATAGAGATTGTCAATCCGTTTTGACATGGTATGGGATGCTGGTTTTGTCCATGAACGCTATACAGTACTGAAAAGAGAAGGAAGCATTGAAATATGCACTGGGGTAGTCATCGTATGGAACAATGCTGGTTTTGTCCATGAACACTATACAGTACTGAGAAGAGAAGAAAGCATTGAAATATGCACTGGGGTAGTCATGTCTTTCGATATTGGGTCATAGAGATGATCGGCTGGTTTTGTCGATGGACGGTGGATCTGGAGATCTGGAGATCCAAAGATTTGGCCATACGGACCATTAGTTGGGTGTAAGTTTGAAAATCCTCCGCCGGAGATGGTGGGTAAGCATTTACAAGGTACGACTTGGTTGAAGTAAATAGTATGGACGTTGTTTGAGGTCTGGATCCTTGATCAGAGTACTCAGGATCACATCGAGAATTGATAAACTGTGATCAACACTGGTGTCGAGAAGTGGAGGGTCATAATATTGATGCCGATGGCTTGATGCTGATGGAGGTGGCATGTCCATGGACGTTTGTCAATGTCAAGAATATCGATATCGACTGATGTTAGTTGAGTGTCCATGGATGCCTGATAACTGATCTTCCGTGTTAAGGCTGACATTATGGTGATATCGGGCTCAAGGTTTAGGAGCCATTGGGCATCGAGGACCAAGAATTGGTGCGAGGACTAAGTGTGTGGTCCATGGACACCGGTTGGTATAGCTGATCTTCGGTGTTGAGGTTGACATTATGGTATCGGGCTCAAGGTTTAGGAGCCATTGGGCATCGAGGACCAAGAATTGGTACGAGGACTAAGTGTGTGTCCATGGACCAGGGTGGATATCGAGGATCAACGATATCTGAGCCTGTGTCTCAGTGATGGCAAAACGGAGGCTGTTGCTGTGGAACACTGGAGTATATAGAAGCTGGAAATGCTGAGCGAAAAGAACGGTCTCCATTGTCCCGATTGGTAGAGAAATAATGAGAAACTGGAGCCATGAATGCCTCACAGGTCAAAAAATGATGCTTGACTGTCTTGGGCTTTTTCGAAGCCAGGTAGGGAGCTGACATGTGGGTCCTGTCGATATGGTCGTTTCGACATGGATGGTTGTTGAGATCTAAGTACATCATATAGTACTTCCGCCAAACCAGGTAAATTGCCTGGTTGATAAGCAGCTGCGGATTGCCTAGATGAGCACTGGTCGGGGCAAATGGCTGCCCGATGCAAGTGCTGAACACAGGTCTGAGCCACATGTGATGGAATAGGTGCCTCATACAAATGCTGGAGTTGGTGTAGAGCAGGAGGTTGGGGTGGTTGATCTGATACCACTGAATAAGGCACAGTATCTGGCTATTCTGAGTCAACTCTGTCAGGTGAAACAGCAATGGAAGGGTTGCTGGAGTGAGCAGAGTGACGGGAGGCTGGGAAGAGAGGATATTAGGCGATCAACTCGTTTGTCCCATTCCGGTGATTGAGAACAGGGTTGATGTGAGGGAAGTCTATCATCATCAGAAGGTGAGGCAATGGAGATCAACTCGCAGGATTCTGGAGGCTCTTGGGAGATAACTGTAGATGATTTAGATTTGTGCTGTTTGGATCTCTTAGGAGGTGATTGCTCTGGAGTTGAAGAGGCTATTGTCGTTTAGTAGTGGATTTCAATGTCGAAGGTTTCGATATCAAATGTTTCAGTTTGTGGTTTTTTGAGGTCTTTGGCCTGAGAGGTGGTCTTACAAGCAGGCTGGTTGAAGGGATTGCTCCCAGAGAGGGAGCTGAAACATTGAAAGGCGAGAGCACTCTGTTTAAAATTTTTACAGTGAGGGCAAGAAGATGTTTGGTGTGCCTCACCAAGCAAAAAAGACACTTAGTGTGACCGTTGGAGTGTGGTATTTTGTTATCACAGACCACGTAGTGTTTAAATGGCCCCAATAGGGCCATGAATAATGGGGAAAAGGATTGTAAAGAAAGATGACACAGTCGTTGTTTGGGGGGGGGAGAAAAAAGAAGAGTTGATTAATGTTTTGATTATATATATAACTAAAAAAAGGAACCAAGAACAAAACTGTTTCACTTTTGTAATTGCAGAAGCAGGAACAACAGCCTCTCAACGCGATGGTTGAAAGAAACTGAAGGGAGTGGCTTGGTGCCACGGTACTTATACAGGGGGGGGATGGGGCTTACTCTAATGTATTTTTTTGCTACCGCGGAAGCTCTAGAAGGTTCTGATGAGACTCCGCGCATGCACGGATAACCCAGAGTGTGATTCACAGAGGCCACGAAGAAGAGACTAGATACAGGACCTTGTTTAATGTTTCCCATAACAATTAAAAATAAGAACAAATAGTCGCCAGAACACTTACTTTCCAATCGTCTGTTCTGTGGGTCAATGCTGCTACATCCTAAAATATAATAGATGTGTAAAATGTATTAGAAAAAAATTGACAAATATATTAAAATTTAATTACAAAATTGAACAAATGAATGCTGCAATAAGCATGAGAAGACCTTCCCTTATATTAATGTTTAGAGATTTGAAATTCTCAATCCAAAACAAATATGCTTCTAAATTAAATGAATATGTTTTTATCTATCAATGGCTGAAATCTAGTTGATCTCACTCAACCATAGAAATGGAGATGTCATCACCTCAAAATGTTAGTCTTTATTTTTATTTTTTTAAAACTCCCTATTCCACCCTTTCTGCTTCAGAGGCTCCCTAGGGATCCCTTAAAATCTTTGGGGAGCCTCACAATGGTATCAAGTTTCAATACTGGACTTTAATACTGGAAAACTGCTACTGGCAGGCCTGCTGCTGGATTGGGACTGCAGATACCACTCCAGCAGCGATTTTGCAATATTAAAAGTTTTTCCACTACCAATGTTCTGGAAGGCTTCCCCAGGGTAAAAAGGATCCCTAGGGAGTTTCAGAACCTGAAGGAGAAGGATGAGAAGTTTTAAATTACACTAAAATAAAGATTAACTCTCTTGACTGATTATGCTATTTATACCCAATGGAGTTGTGCAACATCAATTCAGACACAAACGTGTATCTCTTAAGGTAAGCATATATAAGGAAAGTGTACAATTTTTTTTTCACATTCATGAAGGAAAATGTAATTGATCACTCCAGACCTTGATTAATGCATGAACATCGTAGCTGATCAGAAGTTTCTGAATACCTCTGAAGATGTTAGGAGTTATTTCAATGTCCTAAATAAAGACATGGGGAGAAAAAAATACACAAGTTTTAAAAAACACAAGCAACAGATAATTTCTGTTAGACAAATTTCAGACATAATTTAAGTCTCTAGCACTTGCATGCCATTGAGAAGTGGTCTGGTTGTACTTAAAAGCTGCAATTTCAAATCTAATAGATACATGTCAGGCAGGACAGGCATTATGTAGCAAAAATGAAATGGTACCATCTCCTTCAGCTGATGGAAGTATTGTCTCAACTGCTCCTCCTTGGCCTGTACCTCTGAGTCACTCATGTTGTCAATCAAGTTATAAAGGAAATAGCCAACACTTTCTGTGGGTGGAAAAAAAATACAAGAGAAAGCATTCTACTAAAATTACTGACACTGTCATGTTATCAAGATTAATTTATAAGAAATCATTTTGGTGTGAGATGTCACCCTGATGAGAGGCTCTGAAATGGCAACAATGATCACTGAGGCATAGAGATTATGTGGTTTGGGAGCACACATCTAACTGGTGACTGAAAGGAATATTAATTATTTTCAAACCCAGTGACAGCTTTTCAGTACAGAATCTTTCTTCAATCTATTTTTTCCCACTGCTATGTGACAGAAGCAGTACTGCCCAAGGCCTCTCCTCTACTCTCCAGCCTGCTACCCCTAAATAGTTGCCATAAATATTTTGTCATTTATTCAAAAGGAAGAAAAGAGAGCCTCCCAAAGTGCTGCATACAAAAGCTCTGTACATTTCACATTATTTACAATGCTTACTGCAGCTAATAAGTGAACACCAGCAGAATAAGGAGGACTAAATGATTTTTAACAAGCAAATCCAATAATCCTGTGGAGACTTGCTTATTAGCCAAGGAAAATCAAGATTAACAAAAGATGCTGTATAGTTAACAGCATTAATTTTTTGGCACTCAAGGATAAAATGTATAGGAACATCAAGAAAAGCTAATGAGCTTTTAATAAGAGAGACACATAATGGCATGCACAGTATTTTTTTTATTTTATTTTTTCCCCGGAGATCATGTCATTTCCCCCTAAAACTGATACACTTGTGACAGCGTTATGTTGCTCTAAAAGTCTAAAACATTTCAAAAAGCTACTGAAATGTTTTCAATATACAGAAATTTGCCTGCGTTTGCAAAGCATTTTATATTATCAGTGCTGCTACTTCGTCTTTTTTATTTAACATATGAAAGTGAAGTGCATTTTTAATTAAAAAGGATAAAAAGCCCTAATAAAATCTCAGAAGCTCCACAGAATATACCATGATCATCTGGATAAAGATTTTACCCAACCTGTTTTCAAATTTCACTTTCAAAAAGAAGTAATCAGTGTTTACGGTTGTAATCCCTCAAGCCCATCATTACACAGAAGAACGGATTTGCGGGTAAGTTACAATCATAGAAATTGAAACTCTACCAGTTGGTCCTGAAGATGTCTGGCAATAACGTCCATCTTTGTACAACAGTTCTGTTATCTGGTAAGACAGAATAATCGTACATTGCAGCCAAGAGAAGCAAGCAAGGGCAAATGATATCTGAAATTGAATTCTACAAATAATAAAGCACCTCTCTACTAAGGTATTATTCTATGCCACATCATAGTAAATCGTTTTTTTAAAAGGAATGCTTTTTTTGCAAATGGTTTTTTAAAACACACACACAAACACACAGTGTATGTGTGTGTTGTGTGTCTGTAAAATGATTTACTATGATGTGGTGTATGTATGTATGTATAATACACACAAAAATATATACTGAAGTACAAAAATAAAAAAAACCCTCCATGATTCTGTCCATGTGTCTTGCTCATATTCTTGATGATAAAGGAACCACAGCAATTGTTGACCACTGTTGTTTTGGGGGTGAGTGAAATTAAGGGTGTCTAGCATTTCTCAGTATTATGTTTCTCTGTATTGTATCAAAAGGATGGTGTTTATATAAGTGATTTTTAAAAATTATTGTGCAATTCCAACTAGGATCAAGGAGAATGAAGCAGTGGATTTGCTGCCCAGTCTCAATCCACACCAACTGATCCAGGCCAGGGTGAAATGTGCAGAACGCCAGTTCTGTCATTTTCCTCCACTGCAAAACTTTCTATTTAAAGCCTAATCCACTGGAAGCAATGGGGAAAATTCGCTAGGTCTGTTTTGGACTTCCATAGTTAAAGGAGCTAGTCAGCTTTCTACCTGCAGAACTTTGCATAAGTGGAAGTGAGTCAGTGGAATAGACAAAGTACCCTCCCATCCCAAAAATTCTTCACCAGCAAGAAAGCACCTCTACTTCATCTTAAAATTCCCCACGAGGTGTTCTGAGAGTCTGAATGGCTCTTTACCACTACAGTCTTAAACACACTTACTTAGACTCAATTGAAAAGTAGTTATTTGCAAGTAAACATGGAAATTAATACATCCCACATAAGCTATCAGACTTCAGTAAAGATATTAGTGCACTGAGCTAAACAGCTAGGGGGTTTTGACAGCAGGTTTGAAATGTACAAATTTAAAAGAACAGACTGTGATTGTGTTTTTGCTGCCACATTTTTCCCCACAGGTTAATTCTTTCCCTAAAAATATTCCCAACTCATGATTTCCCAAATTAATAAGGTCTGAGTAAAAGAGCTGAAATCCTGTTGCCATAACTCATGCCACATAAGACTGAGGACTTTGATTCCCACTGCGCCTCATTGATAGGGGCTGGACTCAGTGATCCATAGGGTCCCTTCCAGCTAGTAGCTGGTTTTTTTTTAATAATTAAAGACTGCCCATCCTGCCCCATGGCTTGCATCTTCGGAACCTTGAAACAGAAACTGGAAATGTTTAATTTCTGTAAAATCACTGCTACTGCTGACGTCATCAGCCTTATGTAGAATAAATGATCCCAACAGTATTTCAGCCACTGTGTAAGAAGGAAGGTGACCTGCAGGTATTCCAAAACTCCATTCAAATGGTCAGCAATGGCACTGAGGATTTTTTTTCCACCACAAATTGGTACTCTGAATCCATTCCTCTGTACCCTTCAATTATATCTGTTAAAAGGGCATGAGTGTCTCAGAACCTGCATGTGCAGTTCTAACTAGAAAAGAACAGCTACCCCCTAAGTTCATTACCCCTGGGGCTTCTCAGTCTTGCGAATGTTTTACTTTGTGTCATGCTACATTTTAAGGAAAGCTTTATAAAAAGGACAACTGTAGATTTATATTCTCAACTGAACAGCTGGGGGGCTGGGGAGAGCCAGGATCAGTTATAAGTTAGGAAAGACAGAATGGATTAAAGGCTCTGATTTTGTGTGCGCAGAACAAGGAAACAAATCCAGGCACCTGCATTTGAGTGGCTTCTTATGATTTCCATTAAAGAAATAATCACCAGGCAGCTAAAATTCTCTCTTCTCACCTCCTTTTCCAGTGAGATAAAAACACGGTTATGTAAAGTATAGTCTTCCTCTACCCAATGAAACTTTTAAAAGTATTAACAAAAGCAGTAATTAAACCAATTAGCTATATCCACTATTATGCTGGTTGAAAGACAACATCTTTCTCTTTTTCCTGCAGCTCAAAAACCAAGCCAAGAGGATTTCCTAGATGTTCATGGGTGCAGTGTGGAGAGGAAAATTGCACCTTTGCCATGTCTACTGGATCTTGTCATTTTCACTGTTGGTTCCTTCTCAATAATTGCAACGGAGGACATACAATTCACAACCACATAATAGCAAGCTGCATCAAAGCTACTACTGTGAACTAGGCTGCTGATTAAGTGGCAACATCAGTAAATATTTTAGCAATGACAGATGTGGCCCACTTCTAAACTTAACAAAAAGTTTATTTCAGTAAATGCTACATGTGGACTTGCATTCTCCCTTTGGAGAGGAATAGCTGGGTATCATGTAACGTGATTTGGAAGACACTATAATCCAGAATGAATAAAACACTCAGAAAATAAGAACCATAAACAAAAATGTTAAATATTTTGGCAAACATTATCAGCCCCCCCTCCAAAAAAACAAAAACAAAAAACACACACATCAGAATCAACCACCTGGAAAAATAATTCCTGCTTTCAAATACCCAACAAAGATTTTGAGAATAAAAATAGCATATGCTGTTAACACACCCAATGTATGGCTAATATGCAGCATCTTAAATGTGTGCTCTAAATCACACCTGGATATTTGGCATTCATAAAGGAGAATGGTCATTTTACTGCTACCATCTCTCCAGTTCATTCTTTTTAAAATATTAAATATGTGACACAGAAATAAATTTTGAATTCTGAAATTTCATCATTTCTTCATTCAAGGAAAAACACTTTCTGCTTCCATGGGATAGGAGCTGGATCTCACTTTCTATAAGGTACTTCTTTGATGACATGTAGCCAGATGCCAAGCCCTTAATTTTGTGTTTATCAATAAACTAAAGATACACTTTAGCCAAAGAAAAACACATTTAAGGTTTGTGAGGTGGGGGAGAGGGAAGAGCATTTAAACATGTGTTTTTGACTTTCACACTGTGGGTCAGTGAAGGTGCTTTGCTGTAAATGAATGATGGCCAAATTAAAAGTGTACCTGACCAGCTGCAGTACAAACACTCCAAATAAATCACTAGAAAATAACAGATCCTATTTCTCATAACACCCAAAGCACTTCCAGAATTTATTTCATTTTTACTGTCTTCACTTACCTTGCTCCAAAGAGCTACATCATTGGACCTGTAGAGGGCAGCAGAGGATAAAAAATAAAAGACCAGACAATCTACCGTAATTTAGACATTTCTTTCATAAGAACACTGTATAAGTGAATAGGATAGGACATTTGCATAGGTGAGGAATATTAAGAAGAAATTGTTTTATTTATCTTAGCAGAGTCTGAATTTTTTAAATGTTGCATAAATTGCTACAGAAACTAGTGGTTCCGTTAAGACCCTTACTATCTGAACACATTGCACTTGAGTTCTTGCTTGTGTTTATGCAGACAAGCCTGGAAATGAATGAGTACTTGTAACGCCCATACGTTTAAAAAAAAGGGCAAAATTTTGGCTCTTCAGTTCTCTTACTACCAACCACTTTTGAAAGCATTATCGGAACAATAATTTGGAACTAGGACGAATATGATGGTTTCCAAACAACTTGAGTAACAGACTAATGACAGAGAAAATACTGTATTTCTTAACATGCTTACAGCCAGTTCCGTAAAAGCAAGGCATATTCCCATTCCCACTGGAGACTAGAGTGTAAATCTTCCATCTTTCAGTTATTTCCAATCTAGCAGCTATTAGCAAAAAGAAAGAGGGGTACTCTTGTTTTGATTTGCAAAAATATTTAAAGTATTCTGGTTTTAAAGCTAAATTATGTATTTTTTATTTGACATGTTCCTGTATAATCTTTTCCTTTAAAAATTGCTACTGATGGATAATTACCATCCATGCATATATGCACCTCTTTCAACACACCTCTTTCAGCCTGTTAGTTTATATTAATCATTTTTTACAACATAAGGTAATTTTGTGTGGGTTAAATACCACCTATGCAGAAATTTAATAGCATTTTCCTTGATTCTCTTAGAGAGAGATCTCTGTAGCAGACAGCTAGATATTGTAATCCATTCTTCACCTGTTAAATTTCTTTTAGTATCTTTTCCCATATCAAGTTTACAAAATGTCCAGAGGTTTTGCCATGTCGTATTTTATAGGAAGACAAAGTTAGGTTTTTAAATTCATAAGACAGTATTACCTTCTCAAAAGTCAAAAACAGTATTACCTTCTCAAAAGTCAGTGTTCTGGTGTTTTGTTGCACCATTTCAGGGCTGTTTATATAATGTAGCACTTGGTGTACAGAAAACTATAATTATTTTGAACAAATGCTTTCTTAATTTGTTGTCATGTAATCAAGTTTATGGTCATAATACAAATCTTTATGTCTGACTAAATCTGCACCTTTCCAGTCTTTAAATTACCCAAATTTGTCAGGATTGTTTTTAAAAAGGACATGTAAAAGAAATGTAGTAAGTGGGGATATTAAGGGTGCAATATTAGGCATTTATTTATTAATAGCTGTCTTAAGGAATCATAGAATCATGGAGCTGGAAGGGAGCTATAAGACTATCGAGTCCAACCTCTTGCTCAGTGCAGACATGTAAATCAAAGTACATCTGACAGATACTTTAATGTTCTCTTGAATGCCTCCAACACTGCACCGCTCACCACCTCCCATGATAATTGATTCCACTGCCGTACTGCTCTAACAGTTTGGACATTTTTGCTGACCTTCAACCGAAATCTGGCTTCCTATAACTTGAGTTCATGAATAGGTTAGCCATCTTCAAAATATCATTAAATTGTGAGATAAAAAAACAACAATCCACACCTTCTAATACAATTTACACCCGTGGTTTCTGGAAAGTCTGATTTAACAGGGAAAGGAGATGCCTCACATGAAAGGCATTGTAATTGATGAAGATGTAGCACACCTAATCCCTCTTCATTAGATGGGCGAAATAGTGCTTTATGAGATCCTCCAAATCTTCTCTCTATATTGATGGAGTTATCAAAACACTTTGCCATGTCATTTACTCTGTATGGAGAATTTCTATAAGAAATGCTTAGAATAAATAAAAAGCTTTGGAACAATTAACATTTTTATGTCACAATCCTTCCAAGCAATGACATTGAATCTTTTGATCATATCAAAAAGTCTTGTTTTGCTTTTATATATAATGGATTGCAGTTTCATTTTTTCAGTGTTGGCAAATTGTTTTTGGAATAAAGATATCAAGATGTTTCAGGAATCTGGACTGTACAACAAACCCAGAGTCCACTGCTATAGCTTGTTGGATTTTTAAAATTAAGATTAAAACAGAACCATTCGGATTTTGTACTATTGATTTGTAATCCTATCTTCTGTTGATCTATTTAAATTGTTTTGTCTCTATTCTAAATGCAGAGGAATTGCCAAGGGTTCTTGAGCAACGGGGGGTGGTGGTGGTGGAGGAGTGACAAAGGACATCCCAATCTAGTTCCTCTCTCCAATTTTATTCTCTTTGTTTCATATTTATTGTAACAGAGTCAAAATAATCTTTGTATAGTTGGATAATTATTTTGGGGAAATGAAAAACCCACATGTATTATAATAAGTAATTGTTCCTTTAAACAAACAAACAAAAAGACATTCTAATCTGTCAAAAAAGGCTTTACATGCACCAAGAGAAATCACAGCTAAAAATCATTTCTTAATCTTACAATGATGGACCACATTGAGAATATGTCAGCTATTTTGTCTGCTGAACCAAATCCAGTTGGTCCAGCTGCACATTGGCTGAAATTCTGTTTATAGCGTAGAATAACTTTTTGTTCCTTCTTCCCTGGTAAATAAACTGCCACTGCTATAATTCGGGGGGGGGGGCATTCAGTCTTGATACATGCCTGTGTGCACCCCTGAGAATTTTGCCAGAGGTGCACTGTTTACCATGGAGGAACTGATAGAAATATATGCTTTGTTTACAATACAAACAGGATTTTAGCCATTATGTGCTACAATACATTTAAACTTTGCAGGTAAAACTACTGCAAATAGTTAGCATCTTGGTTTATTCAAACTTATAGTATGATTAGATTTCTTGAAGGTTTTTTTTTCTTGGTTTACATATTAGAACAATACATGAGGCCTTCCAAGACTCCAGAATATCTTCTCCTTTCATGATGCTATTAACCAGCTAAGTCTACTCTAGAGCTAACAAATCTTCAAAATGTTTATAGAAGTTACCAGTAATCCACCAATGCCAGGAGATGTATTTGTTCTGAACCTTGGTTATAGCATCTTTAATCTCATCTGCAATTATACGCCCATTCAATAAGTATGTGTATGTCCGGCTAACTTGCTTAATTGGAATTTGGCTTAAATAACAATCTATTTCTTCCTGAGAACAGTTGACTGACTGATAAAGATTGCTACAGACCATCCTAAATTATTCCCAATTTATTTATTACCGAAAATTACTTTATTCTCTTTAGTTGCTATTGATTTAATTATCTTAATTTAGTAGCTAATAACTTAGAAGCGTAATTTCCAAACTCATGTTTTTGTTGAACATAAAACAAATAAGATGAGATTTTTTTTTCCTAGTGCATCCAGGTCTGCTCTTTTCTGAAGTAAAATCCTAAAGGTTTTAGTTTCCAAATTTTTTAATGTTCCATTTCTTAGTAATATCTTACAATAAGGAATCTCATTTTAGTTTACTTTGTTGGTTAATTACAGCTGTTAGGTAGATGCACATCCCTCTTAATACTGCTGTACAGTTGTCCCAGATAAATCCTGAGATAATGTTTATGCATTGTTAGAAAAAAACTTAATTTCAAATTTTATTTTCCCTGCATATTCTTGGGACAGCAGTAATATATTCTTCAGTCTTTGTATGAGGGTTACCAGCCGATGCTGATCAAACTGCACTATTATGCAATGACATGGTCTGAATTTAAGATTTTTTCAACATATTTGACCATTGTACAGTAATCAAAATAGTTCAGTTTTTAATAGGATTTATGCCTTGGGAAATAATATGTATAATATTTAATTCCAAAATTTAAAAGCTATCAACCAACTCATGTTTTTTCAAATAATTTCAGGAGGTATTTTGATTTACAGTTTAAGTGTATTCTGGTTTTCTAATATATAGATATTCCTCGTTAATTAAATTAGGATCTTCTCAAATAATAATTTATTTTGAACTGAACTGATTCAGTTTGGTTAATATTTTATCCAAAAAGTCATCCCCGTCTTATTTGTCCCATAAATAGGTTCCAGGGTGACACAGATCCTGACAACAAATGTTTAACAAAAATGGAACTGCCCCTTAAATCAATCAAAGCAGTTTCCACCTGGCAGATATAAAAATGTTGACAAAGCTCCCCCCTCCCCCAAGCTTCTGAAGAACCTTTGGCCATGTACTGTTAGTTAAACTAAGGATATTCAAGCCGGGTCTTCTTATGCTTCTATTGATGAGGTTTTTTTCAAAAAAGGAAAACAATATGTACTTTATTTATTTTATATCATTTGTAAGCTGCCTTTCTAATTTCCTTCCTAATCATTGCAGTTATTCAACATCTCTTAATAATTTAATCAAAACACATAAAATTTAATGAATAAAACTTCAGATGGCCAGTCCTTTAATATTATATGCCACATCCATTGGTTCAACTATCGTTCGTTCGTTCAGTCGTGTCCGACTCTTTGTGACCTCATGGACCAGAGCACGACAGGCCCTCCTGTCTTCCACTGCCTCCCGGAGTTGGGTCAAATTCATGTTGGTTGCTTCGATGACACTGTCCAACCATCTCATCCTCTGTCATCCCCTTCTCCTCTTGCCTTCACATTTTCCCAACATCAGGGTCTTTTCCAGGGAGTCTTCTTTTCTCATGAGATGGCCAAAGTATTGGAGCCTCAGCTTCAAGATCTGTGTTTCCAGTGAGCACTCAGGGTTGATTTAATTTAGAATTCATAGATTTGTTCTCCGTGCAGTCCAGGGGACTCTCAAGAGCCTCCTCCAGCACCACAGTTCAAAAGCATCAATTCTTCGGCGGTCAGCTTTCTTTATGGTCCCGCTCTCACTTCCATACGTCACTATAGGAAAAACCATAGCTTTGACTATTCGGACTTTTGTTGGCAAGGTGATGTCTCTGCTTTTTAAGATGCTGTTAAGGGTTGTCATCGCTTTCCTC